GCTGCCAGGCAGGACCCAGACGCCCCCCGTGAACCACAGAGGAAGCCGACGGTGTTTCCCCCTCCACCCCACCCGAGAGCTCCACGTTGGCGCCACCCGAGTCTGTGTGGGTATCGTTCTAGGAAACTGTCGAATTAGCAGAGCCCCTTCAGGAAGTGGCATTTAAGCAGCTGACCCATCACTGCCCAGAAGACTTGCGTGTTCGACTTCCGGTGCAGAGAGGACAGAGGTGGCAGGCGTGGGGACAGCGACGGGCACAGATGTACAGCGAACACCGCGGGCGGAGAAGGACGTGCTGGTGGGACACCGCGGCGCGATGCGGCTTCAGGACACTGTGCCTCGGGGGCGGCGGCTCCCGGCTGTGGGGCGGCTCCACTAGGACATCTACGGGGGACGTCCCCTCTCCCGTCCTGCACCCTCAGGCTGCGAGGTGAATGTTGGTCACTACTACACCGGACTCTGTGGTTCACTTTTTTGACACACAGTAAATGCTGAATGTGCCCATGTATATGGTTCGCTTTTGGAAGCCACTCTTGGGGGAAAAAATACGTACATATAAAATATAAGAAACACACTGGTTCTCATCTAGCCTCTAACATAGTAAAGAAAAAAAAAAAAATCCCAAGACCAACAAAAGCAAATAAATAAACAGGCCTCCCGGACCACGGAAATCAGGCCGGTTCCAGGAGAGAACAGCCTGGGCCTGCCTGACAGGGGCCCGACCGGCACAGACAAAAGGCAGGGTGTCAGCAAACGAAGGGCACAGCGCTGGGCCGGCGGGGGGGCCCCCAGGAGGCTGCCGCTTCCACTTAATGACGCGCTCACTCACAAACCGGCCCGCACAGACGGCTCATCCGCACGGCCACCCTCGTCCCGGGCAGCCCCGCGATTAGGACCCAGAGCCGCCAGTGCTTTGTGGGCCTCCTTGTGCGTCAGGATGTCAGTCTGCGGAGGCAAAGGAGGGAACGCGAACCGAGGCTCCCGACCGACCGTGCGCCTCGGTCAGGCCGTGTGCCCTTGCCTGGCTCAGCCCCTGGCGCGGGCCGTGCGCGCCCGGGTGAGCCGCCCCCTGGCGGGGGTGGACGGCCTCCACAGAGCTCTCCAGGACGCGCGCGGCCCCACGGTGCACAGGGCCGGGGCAGGTGCTGAAAGGCCGACACGGGTGGCCCAGAGCGGAGAGGGCGCCGTCTGAGAGGCGCCGCCCAGCAGGACAACACGCGTGGCCCTGGTGACGGGTGGGCCCTCCGGGCGTGGCCGCCCAGCTCCCCGCCCCGGTGTCCCTGAAACGGACAGGCCTCCACGGGAGACCACGAAGCTGTTCAGTCATCTGTGACGAACATGGGACAAAAGCCAGCGGTCTCAGGGGGGCGGCGGGGGGGAGGCAGGAATTTGCAGTTTATTTAGATCATGGCTCACACAGACCCTGCCCGGGTCTCACCACATCGTCAGAGCAGAGCTTTGCGTGTAGGCTCTCCTACTGTCCTGCGCACACCGGCTTAGGAGCGTGAGGGGCTGGGGCTTCTGGGCGGGGCGTTTGCCTTAAATCTATGCATCCGGGGGCTCTGACCTGGGATCTAACGAGTGACTACAGTTTTAGAACACACGCACAGGAGTGTTATGTCCTGCATGCAAAACAACTCACATTGGGATGCACAACAGCCCAGCCCATGTGTGCAGTGAAACTGTGTGCAAGTCCGATAAACCCGCACCAGCTCAGGAGGGAGCGGGGGAGGGGGGAGCACGAAGTGTCATTGATCAGGAAACTTAAAGCGCTTGACTGTAACACCCCCTGGTTGTACTCATTCTGCATAGAAGGAACACTTCCTCATCCAGGACCTTTAAACTGCTACATAGAAGTCGGGTACCAGAGTTAAACAATTATAAAACACCCCCCCTCAAAACACAGGGGGTCCACTGGGTCGATCCAAGAAAATGTCGAAACAGGAAGCTGACTCGCCCGCACCCTTAGGGCGGACAAGACCCCCCGCCCCACAAGTCAGTGCGCACACACGTCCACCGGGCGCCCGTCACTCACAGCAAAACGGGCTACAGGCACGGGCCCTGGAAGGCGAGTGACGGGAAAGGACTTGAAGAGGGACTTAAACGCACTTAAATGGCCACAGCCCAACCGCAGGGAACTTAGACCCCGGACGCTCCGGCGAACGCTCCGCCGCGGACGGGGGGCCACGCCCCGTCTCCCTCCCAGCGCCCCGTGATGCTCCGCTCCGAGGGCCTCTGCACGACCCACACCCCGGACAGGACGCCGCCTGCTATTCTGAGTGATGGCCCCACGTTTGTCTCCCTACGGGGCCTTCACGTCACCAGTCAGGGCCCCGCACCGTACCGCCCACTGTATCCCCTCCCCTGACCAGAGGGGCTGCGGCTGGCGCTCCAACTGGGAGGGAACGAAGGAGCCCGCCTCCCGCCTCCCGCCTCCCGCCACCGCTGACAAAGGCCCTCCCTCCGGAGCCACCTCCAACAGCCATTCGACAACTACACAAACGAGACAAAGGAAACAGAGGTCCTGTGTTCCTATTAATTGCACGACTTTCTTTCTGTTTCAGGTCACGACAGAGCCAAAAGTTAAAGAAGCAACGACTCCATCCCTGGTCTCTATAAGACATTAGCCCGGGTGGCCAGCGGAGTGGGCCCATCCTGGGGGCGGCTGGGATCGATGTGAAGCCCCCAGGCCTGCCTGCCTCCCTTACCAATCAGCTGAATGTCCCTTTTCCTTCCTGTTCTCTTTTGCAAGGCAAAGCCATAACAAGTGAATCCATGAAAGTACGCGCTGGGCCGAACAGAAGCCAGAAAGCCCCTCCCGCACGGCGCCCGCGAGCGGCAGGGAGCCGGCCTGCCCCAGGCGCGGGCAGGACCCTGGCGGCGTCCGCTCAGGAGTGCGCGGCTCCGGGCCTGGGCTCCCGGCCCCAAGCCCGGGGCCCAAGCCAGGCGGAGCGCCTCTGGTCCAGCGGCGTGGCTTTCGTGAGCCTCAGTGTTGGACTCTAAACGTAGGAGTGGTTTTTCTCTTGAGGACAGAAACGGGCCCCCCTTCCTGTTCACAACTCCAAGTCCCGAGTCAGTCCCCCTATGTTAGCAACTCCTCTGACCACGGACACCTAAAAAGTGTATGATTTAACAAAAATATATGCAAAGGAACCTCCGTTTTATTTTAAAAACTTATCTTCGTGACTGTATTTTAAGCATGAAAGCACCACGGTCACAGACGCCGCAGTAGAACGGGTGTTATTTCCTTTGCAGACTCCATACAATTGAAATACTTCACAGGAATGGGGGCTTTCTAAAACCCGAGGTAAAACGTGTAGCCCTGCGAAGCCTGCGAGAACCACACCGAGAGCAGGATGAGCTGCACCAGCCCGGCGGCTGTCTGAGGGGGCACCACGGTGACAGGGACACTTGTATTTTAAACAGTGGCACCCGGAGACCACCCCCCGCCCTGCCCCCAGGGGGCTCCATCCCACTGGTGGCGGTGAGGACTCGGCACCCAGGCCATGGCCCGCCCACTGCGTCGCCAGCTCTGCCCGGGCGCCGGGCACAGGCGCCCCCCGATCTCACATCCCCGGGACCAGGTCACTCCTAGGTCAATCCACGCATTCATGGGAGCCACATGCGTGAAATAAATGTGCAAGCAAAGCAATCTCTGTGGGGCGCAACCTCATCCTGCAGCTAAACTCCGGCCCCCACCTTCGCTGGGGCCGGGCGGGCTTTCTGTAGAGGCCCGAGGGTGGCCTGCGGGCCTCGGGTCTGGAGCCAGTTCACTGGGCTGGCCTGGGGGGCCGGGCTCTTGGACGGCAACCAGTGACCTATCTGGACCCTGGAGGAGCCCGCGTGCCTCCGTGTTCCATGCTCTGCAGTCTCACTGACATTCACGGAGCCACCAGCACCGGTTCTGCAGGCGAGGCCACAGGATTCCCAGGTTTTCACCTGGCGGCCCCTGGGCATGGCCCACGGAGGCCCCGCCACTGTGAGGGGCACAGTCTCTGAAGTTGAACAAAAGGCTGCGTCCACTACAGTGTCCCTGCAGTGCCATCTGAAAACCAGTCTGGGCAGAGGAAAGAAACGCATGCACGTGCCGCTGTGCAGGGGCATCGTCGCTTTTACCCACATCGGCAACTGTCCGCCCTGGCCGGCGCGTGGCACGGAGTCCATGCCCCCTCGTGCTGGCTGCCTGTTCTGCGCCCAACGCCCCTGGCACCAGAGCCCGGAGGTGGGGGGCAGGGAGGGGGACTGCCACCGAGGGTCTGAACAGGAAGGGGAGGCCACCAAGGGGTTACTGCCCAGGAACCCCATGAGAAACGGCCTGATGCTGGAGACATTCCTCCCAGGCCTTCAACCACAGAAGGGTCACTTTACCCCAGGCCTTCCGGATCCCCCCAGGGTTGAGACCGCCTTCTGTCCCGCCGTCTCTCACTCCCATCCTCTGACCTGACATCTGGCTCAGGGGTGACCTGCGAGAGGGGTCGCCCCGCGCAGGAGCCTCCCGCTCGCCCGGAGAGCGTCCCGTCTGGTGGAGGGCTGGGCCTGGAGGCTGGGACGAGGTCCCAGGGCGACAGTCCCCCGAGGGTGTGATATTTTTTTTTTGCCCCAACTTGACTCTTTCCTTCTTTCAGCTCATTGTCCTCAAAGCTAACGTGAAATATCTAACCCTTTTTAGAGATGGGCTTGAATTAGGAATGAAGATCGGCTGCGCAGAAGAAACGGCGCCACGGGTAAGTGCGACCGACATGCGCCTAAGTAACTGAGAAACGTACACCAAATGGTCACACGGCGTGACACAGAGGATTTGCGGCAAGAGTGTCTAGAGCAGGGATCTGGCCACATCTCCTGGACGTGCCATTTTAGGTGGCTCGGAACTGAGGACACCCCCGGATGCTGTGTTCAGATCTGACACCAACAGCCCCACGTCAGAGGGCGACTCTGGTACCCACGTGGGTGAGGGACCTGCTGGACGGAAGGTGGCGCTGCGTTCACAGCGGAGCATTTACCGTCCTGGAAGACCCGCTCCACGTTCAGGCCGTACGTGGCGCAGGTCTCATAGTAGGTGCAACGCTTGAGGTCGCTGGAGAGCTTCCGCGCCCGGGCGTCGTCGATGACCCGCGGGTTGGTGGAGCTGATGGCGTCTGGAACAGAGAAGCGCAGAGAGACACCTCGGTGACCACAGGCAGCTCCGATGCCTCCCTGCGACAGCAGATCACTGAGTAGCTTGACGCCTGCACCTTACCTGCACTGACACGATCCTTTCACGAACCCAGAGTTTTAAAACACGGACTACCCATGAAATAACCCCTCAGACACGAGGACAGGCGTCATTAGCAGAAACCTGTGTCAGAGGACCCTGCTTCTGAATGGACAAAAAAGACTGCCCAGAACACCAGAAGGAAGGAGCAGGAGGGCAATGGGGCCTCACAGGAAAAGACTTTAAAAGGGAAGGACCCCAGGGCCACCGTCTGCAGCTGACCTTCGATGCACAGGGCACCCCGCTGAGTGTGCACCGCACGTCGGCCTGACCCCTTGGGGCGTGGCCATGCCCCCTCGGCACCGGCTCAGAGCCCCCACAGGGGTCTGTCTGGCTCCAGGCACAGACACCTCCGTGGACAGAGCAGGCAAAGCCCTGCGCTCTTGCTTGGTGGCCAGTGATCCGAGTCACATGGGGAGGGAGGTAGAAAATAACAGAGGTGCGGAACGGGGACAAGGGCAGGGCGCTGCCGGGAGCCGAGGCGCGGGATGGCGGGGGCGGGCGGGCGGGGTGAGGCGGGGTGAGGTCAGGGAGCCCCGCCTGCAGGAGGGGAGGTGACAGCCACCGTCCTGGCGTCCCACCACGCCCGGGGGCAGAAGCGTGACAGACACGCAGGCTTTGCGGGAAGTGGTCGCTACGGGGGGAACCTCCGGAAGCCCACACTCAGTCCACCTTCGTCGGTCAGGGCTGCTGGGCGCTCCGGGAACAGGGCTCTGGTGAGGGACGGAGGGTCCCCCAATGGCAGCGCCCCACATTGGCATCTCCCTGCGCGGGAGGTGTGTGGACCAAGTCTCAGGCATGTGGGGAGACAGCCAAAGGGTCTCCTCCATATGCGCCCCAGCGGCCATGGTCAAATGAGAGGGCTGAGGGGTCAGCTGTCCCACTCAGCGCCCACCACAGGACGTCCCCAGGGCCGCTGTGGAGCCGTCTGGGGCCTGTGTGCAGACACACGGGCCACCGGGCGGGGGGCATGGCTGAGGCGGGAACACAGAAGGCCGGGGGGACGCAGTGGAGAGCCAGGTGCTCTGCACCCCCGCAGGACTTCAGCGGAACTGCCCGCTGGTGAAATGAAAGGACAAGAGCAACCGTGTTGCTGACACCTGAGTGCGCAGGGAGAGCCTCAGGCAGATTCCTCTGTGTGACCCCTGCCAGGGCCTCTGACCTCCCCTCCACTCCTGACCCCCGACACAGACGTGTCGGACAACGTATCACTCAACTCGAGTGCCCTCGCCGAAAACTCGCCCACTCTTTGTCCCCGAGAGTCCACAGCAAAAGGCACCACGAGTCCTCCACACGACCCCCGCCGCGGACTCAGGGGCAGCCGGCCGGGGGACACCCACCCACTGCCTGGCCTCGCTCAGAAGCGCCCCGAGCAGGCCTGCAGAAGGGGACGCTGGCTGGGAGGGCATCGCTTCGCCTTTTGGAAGCTTGGAGCAGGATCTGCTGTGCATGGGCTGCCCACTCTGAAACAGTATTAAGAATTTCCAAGTCACCAACTCAGACGCGCCAACTCTGTGCATCAGAACAAGGACCTCTTACGGCAGCGTCCTATTTCCTCTTGACCAGTAGAGGGCGTTCCAGACATAAAAAAACCTTCCATTTGGTTTTAGGTTACATCTCCTCCTGGTACTTATTGGACTACTGGCCATTTAAAAATGTGCTAACAAAACAAAACAGAACAAAACAAAACAGAACCCTGCGGTGGGCGGGTTACTCTCTTGACAACCCAACTCTAACCCTTCACATCCAGCGCACTGGGGACAAGCTTTCCGTTCATCGCACAGCGCTGCACTTCCAACATGCCCGCCTGCCCGGCTCTTTGCGCAGGGCTCCTGCCCCAGGGCCGGCCCCCCCAGAGGGTCCCCTGCCGCCTCAGGCCCGGCTCCGCGCAGCGGCGGGCCGCCCAGCCAGGCGCTCATCAGGGAAGCCTTCATCAGGGTGTGGAAGGGCATCCGTGTGCTGGTTCTATTTTATTTTTTTGTTGTTTTTTTCTTTTTTGTTTTGTTTTCTTTTTTTCCCCCACGTGCTAATTCTAAAGGAATGAATGAAAACAGGCTATGACCCCCCCTAAATGAGAAAATAATCCAATTTCCCTTGACATGACTGTTTTTCAAGTCGCCCGTATTTCTCACAATGCCGTTTGAAAAGTAACCGTCCTCTGCTTTTTGACAGGGCGCTGCCGGGCGGGCACCAGCGCGTCGGCAAGCCTGTGACTGAGAACGGAGCCCTCTGCCTGATGTCGCTTAAGAAGTTTTAAGTGACTGGGAAGTAAAGGATGAACAGGCTCGTACAACACTTCCCCGCTCTCTGCGGGGCCTTGTGGATCAAAAGTGAAACAGACTCTGAGGCACTAACAAACGGGCAAAACAAAGCATGCCGTCCGGCAGAAGTCAGCACAGCTTTAAAGGGGCACCCAGGTACACAGCCTTTTAGGCTGCGTATGCATTTTTCCATAACAGGGGGAATGAAGGCAACCCAACATAAAAAAGAACAGGGCGCAGGTTTTATTTTTTCTTAAGCACTTCGGGGGGCTGTGTATGTTGTATTGAGGCAGCTAAGTGATTTCTCCACAGTGTCAACTCGGGAAATGGGACAATTTCACGTTTGTGTAACAAGGGAACCTCCGGTGGGAACTTATTTCTTCTTAAACCGCTGTCCAATTCCCCCGCACCAACGACAGGGACCACACGCCTGTGCAGGCAGGCGCCACCACCAGGACCCCGCCAGGACCCCGCCAGGACCCCGCCAGCACCGGCGCAGCCGCCCGTGGACGCCACTCACCCTGGGTGCCCACGAGGACCAGCGGGATGTCGCCCGTGTTCCGGTAGTTGGCCATCCGGCTGTAGTAGTGGTACACAGTCTGGAAACTGATCTCATCCTCCAAGCTGAAGACGAATATCACAGCATCCACCCACATGGCAAACTAGGAGAGAAGCAGGGCAGGGAGCTCAGGAATCAAGAGAGGAGCCTCACATCACCTTCGGGAGCACACACATACACGGTCGACAGACCCCCCCCTTCCCCTGCTGCGCCCCGCCCCTCGGGCCAAGTCCAATGCTGGGCTTGGCTGTAGCCGGTGCCGCGGCTTTGCCAGCACCCTCTCATCCTGAGCACCACGTGCCTGGACTGGGACCCTCGTTCCCTTCGCACCCAGGACTCCTGCCTCCAGAGAACCCCAAGGACACGTTCTTACTCGTGGGGACCTCAGCCCTGTGTCCCGACTGCAGTCCTGCAGACGGAGGCACCCGAGTCACTGGGGACGTGCTTTCGGTTTCACACTAAACTCCCCTCCGAGCCCCCCAGGGGCTCTGAGATGAGGGGTCCTCCCCGGGACCCCACAGGCTCCTCAGAAACCAACGCCCCCACCCTGGGACCTGCTCCTCCGCCCGAGGTGGCATGTGTGAGACCCGCTGCCGATGGGCTCTAACAGTGCCCTGCCGGGACACTGTTATTTACTGTTACAGAAATTACCGCAATTAACGAAAATCGGGGGGAGAAAGGAAAACCCAACAACGGCCCGTCCGCTGCCATCTCATTCCTGTTCCACCTGCACCTGGGGAAGCCTACGCCAGACCCGCTTCCTCGGAAATGACCGCACTGCTCGGCAGCATCATCTTCCTCGACGCCCAGCGCCAGCGAGCAAAGCTGGCGCCCAGGGAGCGGCGGTCCCTCCCCGTCCATGTCACCGGGACGGGGCCAGCGGGCACCGAACACCCTCCTCCTTTCCATTGGAAAGGAATTAAAAAAAAAAAAAAAAAGGCACAAAACCCACTTGCTTTCTCTAGAAGAGCCTGTGGCTCCCACCTCAGTTTTGTGGCCAAAGCATCAGGTCTCACGTATTTGGGGAAATTTTTGGTGGTTTAAGCTCTGACTTCCACATATATATGAAGAATGTATTCAGTTACAGGAGAACATTTGACATGATAAAACTTCAATAAACCTGAAGTTCAAATGATAAAAACAAAACTGAATGAGAACAAGAACTCAGGCACGAAGAATCCCGAGACAGGCCTGAGCCAACATGCTGACCCCTGATGTCCGGCCAGAGACGCCGAGGACCAGCGACAGAGGACCAGTGACAGGAACCCTCCCTCTCCCCTCGCTGAGGGGGGAGGGCGCCTTCAGAAGGCGCGGGGTCCTGGGGCCGACCCTCTTCTCCCAAGACAGCAGCCTCGCAGCCCGAACGTGCGTGCGCAGGCGCGCAGACCGGCCTGACCTCGCGAGGGGCAGCCGGCTGCCCGGCTCCAGCAGGCGGCGGCCCCCAGACAGCCGCCCGCCTGCCCCCAGCTCCCTCAGCAGCTGCCAGAAAAACATAAAGCCAGCTACTGAGCACAAGTTTCAGACTAGCCCAGGGCAGGGGACACGAGCAGCCACCAAGTCTTGGGATTTCGCCCATGAAGCCGCTGGCTGTGGGCAGAGTCCCTGAAATGACGCGGTATCATGAAAACAAACACGCTTACACACGGCGACTGCAGACAGCTCCCTTCCCCGTGAATGTCCAAGCACACGCTGCTCACTGTGTGCAAAGCCCTGCCCCACAATTTTGAAAGGCTCCATCCTGAGGTCCCCCGAAGCAGAAATCTTCAGGGTGAGCTCTGGGCCTAAGGTTTTGGAGAGCCGTGTGACTTGATAAAGGACTGGTCCTCGGGGACCCGAGTGTACACTCTCCTGTGTCCAGAGACCAAGCCGGAGGCCGCCCGGGGTCCTGGTTCTCCCCGCCCGGGCACCGGGGCCACCGGCAGGCAGACACGGGGACCGTACCCTGTCACCACGTCCAGCCACGGGCGCGACCTAGGGCGCTGGCCGGGATGCGCCGGGCACCCACCTCCAGGCGTCCCCGGAATCTCTGAGCGGACCCCGGGGGGGCGCCCACCGACTCGGCTCACAGCCTGTGCCCAGCTCGTGCACCGCGTGCGTAACATCCTGAGGTGCAGACAGACGCTCTCCACACTCACGCTTTTCTGGTTCCAGGATGCCTACCGTTCAAAGAACCTGCCCAGAAGCCATGCTACACTGCACACAGGTTCAGCGGGGACCGAGTTGGGCAAGGGGGGCAGGGTGCCCCATACAGAAATTTCCAGATGTCAGTTCAACTGAGTTGACAAATCGGTGCAGACTGTGCCTTCCCTTCATCTTAAAACCAGGGAAGTGCCAATCAGCTGCACAATCCGAGATTCCCTTGAGGGTTTTAGCTGAAGGAACAACAGCATTAGCGTCCCACAGATGAGCGTTTCACGGTGGTGTTTCTCTGTCACCTTCTGCTGAGCGCACTGGACCGACTCCTAAATCCAGCTCCAACATCTCCAAACTTAACCAGGAACCGGAGAAAAGGCCGGGGAGCTGCTGGCATGTAATACTCACCTGTGCCTCTGGGGGGCCCCCTTCATCTCTAATCAGCAGCAGATAGCTCTGTCCGTCAACCACAATCTCTTTCTTGAATCTGCCACCTGCCACACACACAAAAAATCTCGTTACGCAAGAAAGACAGGGTGAGCGGAGGGCAGACAGACGTGGGCTTCGCTTGTGGAAAAATACACCCTGGGCTATCGCCCTGGGGGCCACTCTGAGCCTTTAGGAGTGGGTTTCGGATCTGCCTCCGGCAACCACTGGGCTTTGAAAGGACTGAGCTCAGATTTCAACGTTTGCCTTAGAGAACCCGTGCTCGTTTCTGGTTGGAACCCACAGCCCCGCACGCAAGGCCAGGGCGGCTCCTGGCTGGGAGGGTGGGATTTCAACGTGGGCGTGGTGCTTGGACGCACAGGGTGGGAGGCAGAGAGCACCAGAATTGTCATTGTCTTGTTGCTCGGTTTGCAAAACGAACGAATTTGTCGTGCCTGTCCGGTGCCTGGTCTAAGACAGGCTGGCAAGTCCGAGGCTGAGAACCTGTATTCTCCTCAAGAGAAACCCAGTTCTTGGTGCGAACACAGAACGTCATGGGATGGTGTCTCGCAGTCACAGAGCACGGGAGGGGGAGGGTGCCGACTACCACACACGGTTAGACAGAACTACGGACGGCAGCTCCGCGAGGAGACAGAGCGGTGCAGCGGGCAGGCGGGCGGGCGGAGAGGGTTAGGGCCAGCTGGGTTAGTGAGATGCCCCCGGGAACCCCTGCTGGACAAGGCGGGAGGGGACAGCCACGCGAGGTGGCAGGGGCCGTCCCTAGGCCTTGGGTGGGGGCGCCCAGGCAGGGCGGCCACGCCCATCTCCCAGCACTGCCCTGGACCAGCCTGCCAGGAGAGAGTGGCTGCCACTAGGAGTCCCTCTGCATTTCCACAGACAGACCGCCTTCCAGGATTCGGGGCTCCGAGTCCAGCCCAGCGACCCCTCCCGGGGATTCTGAGCTCCTTTCTGAGCGAGGACTGCATCGGTACCTGGCCTCCCTCTTAGCTCCTTGCACAGCTGCCTTCCAGAACTCCATCAAAACCTCAAAACACCAGGTGTTGGAGAGCCAGCTGGCGGGAGAGCCAGCTGGCGGGACCCCCACCCTGCACCGACCCCAGAGCCTGCCCATCAGGTCCTCCGCCCCCCAGAGACCACTTTGCTTCTCCCCCAGTGGCCCGACGAGGGCGCCTGCTGTCCCTGCGTCTGGGGTCTGGGCTGTTCCTGCACCCGAGCCGCAGGCTCCAGGACCTCACCAGGGCGGGCCAGCGCACGCGCACACACAGAGGCACACACATCCACTCCTATGCCCCTTCCTGGGCACTGGCGCAACAGGTAAGGCACACTCGCTTTCTTGGGGGGTCGGCTTGCTCAATACTGAGAACCACAGACAAATTTCCCGTATTAAAAGAAAACAGCCACCCTCTCATTTTGACCCCCTGAGGCACTGTCACCAAAACAAGGGCAAAGTCTGCGCAGAGTCAGGAGGAAACCCTTCCGACAGGGACGTACCAGACCTCCTGCCCTGGACCCAGACAAGCCCCCGCCGCGCCCAGCGGCCGGTCCCAAACCGCCAGCTCCTTGTCAGCGAAGGATCTCAGCACCCGCTCCCCCGCCCCCCCCCCCCCCCCCGCCCCCGGCTGGGCTGTGGGCATGACAGAATGAGCTGGGACACACCCGGCACAGGACCAACGCCCCCGGCCCCGCCCCACCCACCGTCACAGCCACCGGGCTCTGACCAGCTCTCCACAGATCCTGGTGTGGCCAACACCTGTGATGTGGGGCTTCTGGCCTTCGGAACTGAGAGACGATACCTTCCTGTCGTGTCAGACACATGCATCAAGGAACAAAAATTAAACACATCCATTTGCCATGATCCCGAAGGTTTAGAAAGGAGATAAAACTCAGCCAGGCGGCTAAGCACCCAGGTAGTGAGAAAGAATAGGATTAACACAAGCGCGGGTAAACAATAAGCCCTATCACCGCTGATGGTCCGCAGGCTCCCGCAGAACACGGCCGTCGGTACTGGGGAAACGGCCTACCAGGGAAGGAAAGAGACTTCCGGTTCCCATCCTGCAGCTAACTCTGGGGACAGAGGGACTTCCAGAGGATGAAAAGGGCGTGGCGCCAGGCTGGGCCTCGCTGGGCGCGGCCACCCCCGCCAGCACTTTAAATCCAGCCCCGGCGTCTTGCCCCACCAACTGCTCCCTTTCTACCAAAATCTTTGAAGGCGCCGCCAAACACGACAAAACCATTTCATTTTTGATGTACATTTCTTAAATGTCTATTTTATGACCTAATTCCCAGTTATTTTCCTGCGGGTCCGCTTCGCCCCATGCCGTGCTCCTTGTACTTGCTACGCAGCCTGGCCCGCGGCCCGCGGCCCGCGCTGTGGGGGTGTCACATGGGCGGCGGGGAAACCTCCTCGGGCTGCCAAGCGGTTTTATACGTTAAATGACTGCAGGGAGAGTTTTACTTTTAGAAAGTCTCCCCCAGCCTCTGTACCGGAGACACCGACAGGTGTCTGGCTCGGCACTCCTGCGAACAGGTTACAGGTGTGCGGGGAGCGAGGCGGGCAGAGCCATGCCGCCAGCCGCTGCGGAGGCCCCAGGGCTCTGTCCTGTGACGGAGGCCCCTCCTTCACTCAAGTCCATTCCTGCCACGGATGCTGTGCGGTCACTGGAGAGAAAGAGGCAGAGGAATGGGCTGGACCGAACAAAGCGTCGCTCCTGGGCTCCATGCTCCCAGAGGATGGAACTCAACTTCGCGTTCAGTCTGTTCGACTGCTGCTCCGCCGGAAGGGGAGTTTTCGGGGTCCCTGCCCTGGTCACCCCCGTCTGCCTGCAGTTGGACATCTGAAGTGCGTCAGGATCTTCATCTCTTCCCGCGATGGGCGAGAGGTGAGACTGAGTGTGTCCACGAGGACAGGGATGCACACACGCATGTGTTGTGAACAGCACGTCGGGAGAATAGAGTTGTTCTGTTTTTTAAACATCTTTTAGAACGACTTACAGGTGCCCTTAGAACCCACCCGCAGCCGAAGCTGCCGGAGGCCTCACGGCCGCCGCCCCCCGCCCGGGCTGCCTGTTGCAGGCGCAGCGCGGGGTACGGGCGCAGCAGCCGGGCTCCTGGAGGCGGAGACGGGAGGGGCAGAGCCGCAAGAGGCCCTCTGAAACACAGGGCGGTCTGTGTGGGGCGGTGCCGGACCGCATAAGGGGGGAGAATGAAAGAGCGAACCTCATCTTCCTAATCCGGGGGGCAGGGGGAGCTGAGTAAACACCACCGCAGATGCCCGGCGTCGCTGTCTGTTCCCTTCTACCCGGACGGAAGGCCCTCCGCGCGCCTCGGAGGGGGCGGCGATGACGGCGCGCCCTGGAGTGTGCTGTGCTTCATGAGGGCTTTCTTCCCGCGGCACCCCCAGGGTTCCTCACGACATCTCGGGGTGCAAAGGCCGCCACCAACACCCCATCTCCTGCACGGAACACGAGGATCCACCCGAGGGGAACCGCGGCCCCCGGGTCCACACGCCTCCCCTGTGCCCTCTCTTCCCGGAGTTTCTACTCAGGCAAGGTCTGCGCAACACCACACTGTCACCGGTGAGCTGCGTGGCCTTGCTGTGACGGTCGGGCGCCCACAGGGCGGCCTGGGGAGGGCAGGGCCCGTGTCCTCCTCGCTCCACGCACAGCTCGGGCGCCCACAGCTCAGCCCCGCGGTCAGGAGGCGAACAAGAAATCCACCTGCCTACACTTTGTTCCATTTTTGTTTCTGCTGTTCATCTTTACTTTCCCGTGCATAAGCAAAGAATGAAAATTTGTCTTGTGTTTGAAACTCCATTTGTACTACTCTCCTTTGCCGCAGAAAGGGGAGGAGCGTTGTTCTACCGCTGACCTGGATTGCTGTCCATCAACCGTGACCCTGCCCTGAGGTGCAGGCCGGCCTCACAGCTTAGAGGTTTGCGTCCACGAAAACAGCTTTAACAGTCGCCTGAAAAGCTCCTCTTCCTTACTTAGCCCCGGGTCTCGCTGTTTCCAACAGCTTTGGCCGAGCGGAGCGAGAGGGAGGGACGCACTGCAAAGACTGAGACTCTGATTTCTCCGAGAGAGTAGACAACAATTTTAATCACAAATCTGCCAGAAATTTTTGAAATTTATTTTACTCCGTTAGCTTTGATAAAAACACTGATGTCAGTAACTTATTAACATTAAGATTTTTGGAGAAGTTTTGTATTGTGACATTTAAAAGAAATGTTGGACCACATGTTATTTTTACACTGGGAAAAAATTTTTATTGGTAACATGTTAGTTTACAAAGTTTAACCAAGTCAGATTTTATTTCCTCTGCCAATTTTTTAAAACTGACATCGATTTTTTTTTTCAGTAACTATTGTTAAATGTGCCAACAGTCAGGGCCCGATGTGCACTGCCTGCCGTGGCTTCCACGGTGACACCGGGCTGTGGCCACGGGGACAGGGGCGCCTCCTGTGAAGGCCGGGGTCCGTGGAATGGGTTTAGCCCCCGTCTAAGTAAAGGAAGAAGGGAGATCGGGAAACAGGCCGAAGCTCCGGGGTAAGGCGGTAGCTGGAGCGTCGCTAGGATTGAATTTCCTTCCCTCTGTTCCTAATGAAATGAGGGGCGAAAAGTGAAAACCAAAAGCAAGAAACCGCACGCCCCACCAGGAGAAGGGGCATGGCGCCACAGGAAGAACGGCGCCAACAGCGGCCTTAAGAAAAGAGAGGGAGATTCTAGAGCTGGTGGCAGGGGCTCCTCATCCCACGCCGCAAGCCCCGTAGCGTTGGCGGAGAGAGGCGAAGAGCTGGTCCCAGACGGCAGAGGGGCGGGTACGGCGTGAGGGGCTCATTCTACACTGTAATTCAGGAAGACGGCGTCCGGCCTCGGGGCTGGCCCCTGCACTCTCTTGCAAGTGACGGAGATGTGCGATTGATGGCTGGCAAGAGGGAACGTGGGCAGTGGCCTGTCTCTGTCCTCCCTCTGGTGCACCCACCGTGGGGGGCTCCTGCCTCAGGACACCCGCTGGTGGGGGCTCCCGACACCCTCCGTCTGATGGGGAT